AATGTAGAAGCCATTCTAAATTCCATCTGCTGTAGTTAAGCAAAAAAATGTCACACTACCAGTTGATAATAAATAATTTCATAAAGGACATAACCACAAAATCACTTTTTTTTTTTATGTTGAACTGTCTTTCAATAAAAATATGAAAAAAGAATATGAAAATATATCACTAAGGTAAACAGGAAAAAGGATGGAAATATAATTGATGGGGAAAGATGAGGCTTTCCAAACAACTCCAGTTTTAAAGGCGTTGGATTGGATTAAGAGGATCTATGTTCATGGTTTTATTCCTATAAAATAAAATATCTCTGGGTCAGTTTATGCATCCTGCCATTTGCATTTAATTTCCCTGCTTAAAATAATCACCAGTCACAGGCTGTGCAGCCAGTGGAGGACATCACATTGGAGTAGCAGGTTATTTCCCAAAGAACTGCAGCCCATGGAGAACCCATGATAGAGCAAGGGAGATGCATGAGGAAGAAGGAGTGGCAAAATAGACGCAGTTATGGGCTGACCACAACCCCCATTCCCCATCCCCCTGCACCAGTCAGGGGTGGGGCTATAGGAATATATAAGACATGAGTTGAGTCTAGGACAGTGGAGACAAAAGATGGTGTTTTAAAATTTTTGCTTGTCACCAGCCAGAATCTATTTTTATTAGAAATAAATTGCATTAATTTTCACCATGACAAGTGTGTTTTGCCTGTGACAGTAATTGTTTAGTGATCTTGTTGTCTTTATCTTAACCCATGGGGTTTTTCAGCCTATTTTCTTCCCCTGTCTAAAGAAGGAGAGGAGTGAGAGGCTGGGTGGGCATTTGACTGCTAGCCAAGGCTAACCCACCATAATAATTCAAAAGTAACTGCAAGAATCCCCTTTCTCCTCTTCTCACTGTACAGTGCCTAAATACAGAAGGAGACTGTAAAAATAACTGTAATAGAAATACTAATACTAATGATAATAATAAAAATAAATTGCTTCCTCTTTCTTGAAAGAATCAGATAGAAGTCAGATATTGATGAGGAATAATATTCTCTTGCAGCATTTCATCTTGGTCTCTTACTATTCTTCAGACACATTGAATATTTATAAAACTTTTCTTTTTCTCATTATTTCAAAGAGTTCTACAAACAGTTATATTTTTAAAAGTTAAGATTAAACAATTCCTTCCTTTTCGTCATCTATCATAGAACAATAGTGCGTGGTATCTAATAAAAACAACAGCAGTAGGTGGAAATATCAAGTTTACTATAGCACATCCTTGAGGACGTGGCAATCAATAAAGGGCAGGATCCCCTTCTGGATTCCACAAGATGTTACAATGAGATTGAACTGTTTGCCAGTGTGTGTCACAGTCATTATTTTTGACACTTAAGGTACTGCTGTGATGTTCTAATATCTACAGTCAACCTGCAGATCAGATCAACAGCAGAGTATTTCATCCTTTTTTAGCACAGATTTATTGACATTGTTAAGGAGATCAAAGGTAAAGGGCTAGACTTCTTGTCATGAAAGCTTCGATTGCTTCAAAAGAATGTTGATAATTTAGAATGCAGAAGTAGAAATTGAGGAATATTTTTTGTAATGAAGTTTTTATGGCCATAATATGGGACAATCTAGAAAATTTTCAGTTATTGCAGTGTCACAAAAATAGTTGCAATAACATATTCCATTAAGGTCTTATGGGTAAAACAGTACTGCAACTTAAAAATGTAATAATGCAACATGATTATATAAAAGTACCCTGTGAAATGAACTAAGTTTAAAAAAAATTACTTCAGATACTTATTTTTCTGAATTTCTGAGAAATTCATCAGGATTTTATGGCTTCAATAATTAAATATTTTTCAGATTAGATTATGATGCACATGTTGGAACAATCCTTTTCAATTTTTAGGAAAGATTTTGATGTAAAACTTTCAGTTTAAATTTTAAAATGTCTAATGCATTTCATAATTATTTAATTCAGTGAAGAAGAAAGGAAACATAAGGAATGGAAAAAAAACTCCTCAGAACTTCCATACTAAAATAGTTTTTTCTTTGCTGAATGCTAAATCCAATATCTTGTTGCTCATTGAGATATCCCTTTCCAATACTCTGAGGAATGCAGCATATGTCAGTTGCATGGAACAGCAGTGTGGTAGGAATAGCACCAGGGAGTTGAAAGACTTGTTTCTTACATATGTTTTCAAGTATCAGTTCTTGGAATATGGAATATTTTTTAAAGATGGTTATTCAGACAAAAAAAAAATCAATAATACATTTCCATTTGTTTCAGTAAGACCACTGTCTTTCAGTTTTCAATGTTGTCCATTCTACTTTTCTGGGACACAGGTAACATCTCTTTTCATTTAACAGTGACATAAGTCACACAAAATTCAACTGAGTATCTATTAACAGGGAAGCATTAGATGTATGTTCAGTTGTGCAAAAGAAATATACCTGGAATATATATACATAATAATATGCAGCTCTTCATGATTTTAGGTCAATATTTGAAGGGTTATTTGTTTAGATCTTGTTTCTGTTAGTTTGCTTCATAGCTCATGCACTGTTGAAGCCAGATTCTTTTAGGGTAACAGGGTTATTAAAGCAGCTTTGTCCATTTGATCTGCTCTGAACATTTCAGTGACACTTTGACTTAACAAGACAAAACAATGACAATTAAGCTTCATTGTTTTTCAAATGATTTCACAACACAAAACTAGTGTCATGGATGAGAAGTGGATAATCTGAGAGATCATCATTAATTCATACAATGAATTAAATAATAAAATATTAATAATGAATGCATCCAATAAAGCCTATTTAATTGGAGTTATTCTGTTAAGAGAACATAGCTGCCATGTGACAAACTCACCAAATGAATTAAGACTTTTAAAGCCTGTAGCTGTAATCAATTTGAAATAATTTTAAAAAAATCAAACCTATATATTGTTATAACGGTGGGATTATGGGCACTCTGTCTGGTCTCCTGCTGCTGTTACAGAAAGGCACACAATTTCCTAATATAAAATAGTTGTTTGTGGGGTAAATGAAGCTTCTTGTTAGATTTTATTATATTCAGTGATTTACAGTCAATGGAAAGAGTCTGACAAGCCCAGAAATCAATTCAGCCCACTATTCTCAGGCCTGTATGCTAGATGTGATAAGCAAAACCTAATAAAAAGGATTTCAGAGAGAATTTTACAACTTTAAAACTTTATAAAACTGAGTGATTTTCAGCTGGAATAAATGGGGTGGGCAAAATTCAGTGGGTTCTTGAATTAGGCAGTCTATCATGAAACACAATAGCCTGAATAAGTCCTTTTTTATCCCTATATACTTTTTATCCAAACTTTTATTAATTTTTTTTAACGTCCTCAGTATTTACTGTTTCATTCTATTCCACAACTGCAGCTGTTTCACATCCTTTCTTCCTCCTGTTCAGTAGCAATAAAGTGTAAAGAAAACAATATTCCAAAAGTTTTACTCCATTGCTCCCACTATTTCCAAGGTATTTTTTACTGATTGCTCCTTATAATGTTCAGTTTTCTGTAGTGGGATGCACCTTCCCTGCTTAAAAATAAAAACCTTGGAAGCCAGAATCTGAGGCAGAGTCCTTAGGTTTTCTGTATACTTACTTGAGAAAAATGGGCACTTACAGAGCACAATTCATGCTTTCTGAACAACAGCTGTATAAAATAAGACAAAAAATATCCTAAAAGTCCCTATTTCTTCCATTGGCCATAAAGGAAGCTTAGGATGATTGGAACAGTTGTAAATGTCTAAAGAAAAATATCTGAACTTAGGTGTGATGAATTCTTCCCCATCTCTAAATTAGTTCACACTGTAATTTTTTAGCTAAAAGCAAGTACTTAAAAAGTGGTAAGTAGCAAGTAATACATAATATCATGTTACTATAAAATGAGTTTTAATAAGTGCAACATTAAAACCTAAAATGTAAAAGTTATAAAAGAGAAACCTAGAATATGAACACTATTAGAATTATAGCTTTAAGGTAGTCTGTTTTGACAAGAACAAAATTTCTGTTTACTTGCTGGATGAATGTAGTTGCCTTCAGACAAATAAGGTTTCATGGGTCAATGTCTGGCTGAAGCAAGGTACAAAATGCATTTACAACAAATCTTATCACTGTGTAAATTACTTAATTAGTGTCATGGTTTAGGAATGGTACCCCCCAATTTAGTGTTCCCACTGAAACTCCAAACTACGCTGCTGGTCGCTCGCTTCCCTCACTCCCCTATGTCTCCCCACTGTGGGTGGCTGGAGAGGAGACTTGGAGGCACAAAAGGTGAAGATCACGACTTGATATAAGAACAATTCACTGGAAAGACCAATGAGATAAGAAAAGGAACAGTGACAGCTACAATACCAGTGGCAGAAGGTACAAGTAAAGAAATGTTACTGCTCACCATGGAAACCTCCAACAATAGACTATACCCAACCACAGATTATCCCCAACCACTCCCTCCAGCTCAGGACCAGTGCTATGCTACCACAACGGGAAAGAACTCCTTCTCCTCAGAAATGAGTCCCTTTTCCCTGCCCCTGGCAATGAGTGAGGTGGTACAGAATAACCTCTGGGTCCTGGCCATGCCCCCTCCTGGCTACTGCAAAAATTAACCCTCTCGTGGTCGGAAGCAGGACAATTAGATAAACTTGGTTAACTGGAATTGGCATATGCAACACATAAAAATCAGATGAGTCAACTACAATTTGTCCTGAATTGTTTTATACCATACACACTGAAATTTAAGGTCTGTATGCGGAAGCATTTGATGAGAATATTACACAAAAATAATATAGAATATATATAAAAAAATATTTATTTCAAATCAATGTACAAGCCATTAGATATAGGAGGGTGTGCCCAAATGTGACTATATTTATTTTAAGACACTCTGAATTTCAGTATGCTAAAAGTTTTTTACTACTGTGTGTCAGCTATTCATCCCTCTATGAGAAGTGTTTCAATTGTGTAAGCATACCCTACTCACTTGCCATTTAATGCTGCTACTCCAACAGTGCTTCTGGCAATTGACATACTTGCCACAAATGTCCACTGCTGACTTTGAGGGTCCCACCTCTCAACTGTGTTCAAATAACTCCAACCATCATGTCCTCCCACTGCATAAATAGGCCCTTCAAGCACTGTAACTCCTAAAAATGGAAGACAGAGTGAGAGAACATAAAAGTATGCTTTCTTTATCAGTAGTAAAAAATAAAAAACATTTTTCAAAACACAGTCAACAAATGAACTTGTATATTCAAAGTAAAAATGGAAGCACCAATTTGAGATTTGATTTATTAAAGATTAACAAACAGAAATAAAATAATGCCACTCCACACATTTCTATGAAAAACAGGTCTTGTGAAACAAATTTAATTTCATTCCTTGAGAAGAGTGTTTGCTTCATAGATTAACCTCTCAATAGTGTAATCATAGATTTCTGTAAACTGTTTGACCTAGTATCTCATAACATTCTGATCATGAATTAGCTCTTTAGAATAGCAGTAAGGCACAAGAAAGTATGGACTGGATACCTGATGGATCTCAAATTATTGTCAACCTAAGGGGTATTGGGAGGTTCCACAGGAAAGGGAAAGAAGTCTGATTTTTTTCCCAGCATTTTTGTCAATTATGTAAAAGAAAATACACAACTTTTCACTAGCAAGAAGCTTTATGGATCCATACAGAATCAAAACAAACGCATTTAAAGGCTTGAGCAAGTAACTTAGAGTGATAAATTTAGCTGCTTCATTACCCTATCAAAAGGAGAAATAGCCAGGTACCTTCACAGGAAAATAATGTTGGATATATAAGGATTCTTTTATCTACTGAAGAAAAGTAAAACAAAATGTAAAACATGATAGATGAAAAAGGAAATATTTAAAAAAGGAAGAAATTTTTAACTACGAGGGATTTCAATAACCCAGTCAAAGGAATTGATCAATTCTCTCACTGTATCTTCAGTGAGGCTTAGAAGACTCTGGAAGATAAATTATAGCTAAGTACCGATTGTTACAAGAAAGTGAGCTCAGTAATTCCATTCTATGAATCCATCATCCCAAATGAGCATTGCTCTGAAAAATCTCAAGCTAAATACAATTCTATTCCTAAGTCAATGTATTTTTTTTCTCCATTCCATTTCACACAATTTGAACTCAGCAGAAAGTCAGAAAACAGTAGATCATTAAAGTTTCAGAGAACATCCACTCCTCACTGGTTTTGCCATCTGCTAACTTGCCGAGCATGCACTCTTTCCCATCATCCAAGTTATCACTGAAGATGATGAGCACACTGGACATTGGGAAACATCACTAGTGGCTTCTATCGGGACTTTGTTCTGCTGATGATAGCTCTTTAACCCTGACTGTTCATCTAGTCAAGTTGGTCAGGAATAACTTTTCTTCTATAAATTTATATTCCCAGTCAACTTAATATGAACTGAAACTGTTCCAGTATTATTTGCTCCATCACCTTCTCAGGGATCATGGTGAGGCTGACTGGCCTGTAACTTTGCAGACTCTTCTTGCCCTTTTTGAAGGGCATTCGTTTTCTTCCAGGCTTAAGGAATCAGATCACCAGAACCTTTCAAAGATAATTGACACTGGTCTCACCATTACATCAGCCAGCTCTCTCTACACTTGTAGGTGCATGTTTTCAGGTTCCATGGACTTGTACATGGTCAGATTGCTTAAATATTCCTTAAACTTTTCCTCTCCCACTGAGGGTAAGAAATCTTTGTACCAGATTTCCTTCTTTGGTTTCAGGGACCTAGGACTCTCAAAGCCAGTCTTAAAGACTGAGGCAAAGAAAGCATTGAGTACTTCGGACTTTTCTGTGTTCTTTCTCACCAGGTCCCCTGCCCCAATCAGGAAAAAAAGCTCACCTTTTCCTTAAGTCTTCCTTTTGCTGTTCAAAGACCTGAGAAAGCCTTTCTTGTTGCCCTTCAAGTCACCCATCAGATTCAACTCAAAATGAGCTCTGCCTTTCCTAAGCTGATCCCTCCAGCACCTCCATATTTCTCCTGGGTCACTTGTGCATTTTCCACCACTTGCACGCTTCCTCTTTCAGTTTGACTTTAATCAGAAGTTGTCAATCCATCCTCCTACCTTCTTGACTGATTTCCTGCGCATCAAGACAGATTAAAGCAAGTGATCCTTGAAAAATTTGTCAGCTCTTCTGGGTCCCTCTTTTCTCCAGGACCATATTTCCCAGAGCCACCATTGCAGAAAACAATATATTGCCCTCAGTAGTTTTGGCTCCATTTTGTGGAAGCTGATGTACAAACTGTTGCATCTCTTGCCTGCCTCTGTTACCTGTGTTCAAAGCCACCTATCTATGAACCATTACAGTCTAATTCTTATGTTTTCTAAGAAGCCAAGTTTGAAAAGCTCTAAGCAATGAAGAAGTATTTTCTTTCACCATTAGGCAGTGCTTGCACCATATGTTTCAAAAGATTCTAATGAGTAATAATAATAATGTGATCAACTCCCCCAAAGAAATAATTAAATACACATTTTATATTACAGTAGACTGTGTCATATATCCAAGCATTGAATTCAAGCATTTGAATTCATTTAAAGCTTAGATGCCAGAACGCCTATGAGATTTCTATATTGCCCGTATGAATTAAAGGGTAGTCCTAAAGGTGTTGCTTTTAGCCTCCCTATCATACAGAATGGATGGACTGCAGTACATCTCACCTCTGTGTCAACCTGTACTGAAGTTACTGAACAGTTCATGATAACTGCAAATGAAATACCACAATCAAAATCTTAAGGGATACATTCTGCCAAGATCACAAAGCAAAATATTTTCCAGTAAAATTGGTGAAACAAGACTATTCACTTTTCTGAATGTTCCAGGTCATTTGTTTTAATGGAAAAAAAATTAAATTTATTTAAAGTAGTCTCTGTTGAAATGTCAGAGTTCCAATCCTATTAGCACACTGTAGAATTCCTCCTCCTTAAAGAGCAAAGGTATTGAACTTTATATACCTTTTATTTTTTTTAAATGGTGCAGCCAATTTCTGCATCGTCTCTTGAGACATGATTTTTCACCTTTTTGCAGTCAAGATACCGAACAGTGTGTTAGAAGATCAGAGTTCATTTTTACTTCATGAAACAGATCTTCATGTTCGTTGTGTGTCCTACAGTAAACAGACATCAGAGTACCTAATTTGTTGTTTTCTGTCATCTATGCCCACTAGATAATAAACATTCACCTAGATTTACACTCAGAATGAAAATAATGTTTTTATTACAATATATAGAACAGACTTTTCCTGTTTCCTAAATGAGAAAATAATTATTTTCAGCTGACACTTGAAGTCTTATTGTCTCCTTTACCTCATCTTCAATAATTTGGCAGAACTAGTTTAAGGCACAAGTAAAGAAGAAATCCTCTTGGATTTAATGTTTCACACAATGCTAGTGCTTTGTTGTTTTCTGAGAAAAGCAATAATACATTCAGAAAAGAATTTTACTGTAAGAGAATTACATTAAAAAAAATCAAGGTTATTATTAATCTGAACAAAGAAACTGGAAGCTGGTGGTATTAGATCTTTTCTAATTTGTAGAAAACAGTAATTCTGGCATTGAGGGACTAATTTGTTCTGCCCATCTTATGACGAATTACTTTTGTTTTCACAACAATATAAACAGTTTGGCTTTGCTAGTCCTCATACAGCTACTGGGCAGCTGAGACTACAAAATCAACTATGAACATATCTTTTAGGAAAGGAAACACCTTGTTTTCTTAAGAGGAGATATGTTTTCAGTAATACATTCAGTAGTTAAGTGCAGTAAGCACAGTTCAAAGAAACTTTAATGTTTCCCTGAAAATTCTGAAAAGCTTAATAACTCAGAGTTTGGTATTTACTCAGTAAGAGTTCAGTATCTATTAAACTTTATTTCCTGTAATAAAAATTTTTTTTGGAGGAATATGTATAGTCTTGAGTAGAACGTGTCCTAGCTAAATTACATCTCAATGTATTGCAGTTTGTTAGTACAATCTGAAACTGGCAGATTCCTGAACTGAAACAGAAATAAACAAACAAAAGTACCTGAAAAATAATTTCCCTAAGTATTTAGACTTAGGAGTCTATGAAAGCAAACAGTGTAATTTTTAAACTGAAATCTAAAAAATTAATATTGTCCATTGTGCAATGGCAGGCATTTTCCTTTTGATTGTCTTCACAAAGCTATTCAGAAAAAACTCTATTATGTCTAATTAGGTGCTGAGATCTGTACAGTTTCCATTATTTATAATTGAAGACTGGAATGGGACTTTTAAATTGCTTTTCTCTGATGTTAAAAAATAAAGGAACACTACCTATCATATTTTTAACTCTGCATTTCCTTATGTGCCTGATGGATCCAATTTCACAGATAGAAATTTGAAAAAGAATAATTTTTAATAAAATAACAGGAAATATAATTACAAATTGGAAAAAGAAAAAGTTATATGTGGTACTAGCTTTACTGTAGTGTCTGCATTTTGATATTTGTAGAGACATGCAATTTTACCGGGGAAGGACAAACTTGTATCCAACAACTAGTATTTTAAATAAGGACATCACCTTCTAAGAAGAGGCCGGACAGACACTATATCATGACATTGAAGGTGAAAAGACAAATCAGTGATTTGTTATCCAAATATTAAACTTGATTGAATAACACAGACTTTATTCCACACTTTTAAGCTCTGCATTTATTTAGTTTACAGGTTGAAGTACACTTCTAACAATCTCCTTTCTTACCCACATCCACAGAAGCATAATTAGACAATTCTGTATTAATTGTAACTAACATTGCTGCTTTTACTTACTGTGTTCTTGCCCTCTTTAAATCTTAAACCCCTTTTCTTCCACAATAGTGGTGTCAGAGAAAGTAAAGTCTAATTTGTTTTAAATTATGCATCAATGAATTAAACCTCATATTTAGTTCTCACAACCACAATATTAACTGGGTGTGAAATACAATTATCATTCTTCAGATGCTGCATATAAGACTGCCATAGGCCAAGCTGGGAATTAAGTGCGTGATTAACTGGAGAATTAGACCTGACCTACCTTCCTTAGTGAATATTCAGTGACTCATTGCTGAAAATACCTATTCCTATGTTTATTCACAAGCAAGTATTGAGGCTGATT